TAGGCAGGCCTGTTGTGCAGGCATGCTGTGCGTGGAGGCCTACCCAGCAGGCTGCAGGCCGCGCTGCTGGGGGCTCTAGGACGAGTGCCTACAGCCAGGGCGTCGTCGTCAGTCGAGTGGTCGCTCATCACTGTTCCGTTTTACGAGGCCGTGCCTTGGGCTCGCCAGGACGGCGTACTCGCTCGCAGATTGGCTCTTGTATCAGCATTTAGAGGCTGCACGGCCGGCCGGGCGACCTTCGTGAATAAACAAGGGCCTAAGTGGAGCTTAAGTGAGAGGGCAGCAGATCAGAGCGCCCCGTATAACCGGCGGGGCGGCGGTTCTAATTGGCCGTCGACTTTTTTGAGGAACGCGTAAAAAAAATTAGCACCTGCAATGGATCGTTGAGATTAATTCCGTGCGACGTTTTCTCCCTCCCCGCGTCTCCCGACCAGAGAGTTATGGGGTCATGTTCCGCCCTGCTGCTTGTAGAGTCCTGCAGGTGGTCGCCTGCTTGCTTTTACAACAGCTGTGTGAAACGGGAGGGGTTGAGAGAACACTGTGATTACCTGATATTTAGAGCAGCGGCGGGCCGCCTGGGGGGCCGCGGCTAGCCGGCCACGCCCGTCCCGTGCGTGCGCGCGCAGGGCGCAGGTGCAGCAGTCCCAGTTGCAGCCAATCTCGGATGCAGCAGCCGTCTGAGGACGTGCAAAAGCGCTCGACTGCAACAGAAAACTCTCGGAAGATAAAGTCTAATGCAGCTCGCTCCAATCTCTGGAGACCGGGCGGTGCCCTCCTCGTGACCGTGACATGCCAGCGCCTCGAAGCAGTGGACGCGAAGCGACGCGAAGCAAAAGCCGTCCGGGGGGCACCCCGACGCCATAGAGCACATAAGGCGCTAGTTAGCTCACATGATTCAGCGCGTCCATCCAGTGTGAGTACACTGCCATACGAAATCGGGGGAGAAAATTTTCACGTCCATTAGTTATTATTGAGGTGGGAGAAAAGGCAGCGGCGGTGGTGGCGGCGGCGGCGCGGCGGCGCACCTGCTGGCCGACGGAACGGATGGCGTATTCTGTAAGAGGACGGCGCGAGGGAGGAGTGGGGACCGGGTACATCCGGGAGCCGGCCAAAGGGGTTGCTGGTTGCATTTCGTAACGCGTGCAAATCCCGATTCTCCTCGGGCTGTTGTATCAGTGGCGCCCCCCGGCCCAGAGCCTCAGGGGGCCGGGTCCCGGCCGGGCCCGGCCCTGGAGGGCCCCGAGGTGGCTCTAGCCTAATTATGGAGACGAGCTGTCTGGGCTTGGCCCCGCGGTGGCCGGGGCTGCGCCGGGGCTGCGCCGGGGCTGTGCCCCCGCCGCTGCGACTTGAGTGATGGCCGGGCTGACAGATCTCCGCTACCGCAGGCGGCCCGGACGCATCGCTCCCGCGGCGGGGGCCCCGCCCGACGCCCGGCTCAGGTGGGAACGGGGAGGTCGCCCGCGCTGGCCGTGCCGGGGAGCATCATCCTCCTCGAGCACGCGGTTCGGCACGCCATCAATGGACGCCAACACTCCTCTCTACATCATCTCCGATTCCCGATTCACTTTGCTTTTTCTTGCATGGCGTGCTGCTATGGCCGAGGCGCGACTCCGGTGTCGCGGCCCGAGCAGGGACCGTGGAGAGCGAGCAGTGGGTGGACTCGCGATGGTATCTGGGAGGCTGGAGCCCCGCGGCTGGAGGCGGAGGCGGGGGATGAGGTCTCACTCACACGAGTGGAGCCGAAGACGCGGGTGCCGCCGACCCTCTAGTGGGTGCACACGCCCCGTCATACTACCGAGAACAGTAGCCCCTGCGGATGGTCTAGGCGCACGGGCGCGGCGTGGCGGGGCGCGGCGTGGCGGGGCGTGGCGGGGCAGAGGCGGCCGCAATGAATGAAATAAGGAATGAATGAGACAGCAAGGCACAAAGGGGCAACAAGTCTGTGGGAGATCGGGGTCCAGCCGGCCAGGCCAGAGCGCGCCCGGCAGGCTGGGCTGTCATTATTTAATGAAGCACCGGCTTCAAGCTTTTTCTCGTTTTTCCGCAACGGAACCTCGGTCCTATTTCATTTCTTTCTTATTGCGTATTTATTTAAAATTTCTTCAGCCAATTGGCTTTGAAAATCCAGAAATATGACCTCTTGCTTTATTTTCCACTTTTTGTAAACCCCCTTTTCTTTTCAGTGCAGGTGGACTGGAAGCGTCAGCGCGCAGCCTGGGCAAGTGATATATTGCGGGAGCCTGGGCTGGACCAGAGCGGTACAAGGCATGGATTTATGCAACAGTTTGGCAGGGCTAGGCTCTTGGACCGTCCGCCTATAGACCGTCCGCTGGATTCTCTGGAGCCCCTCGGGCCACTTGATCTCTCCAAGAGGCATGTGTCCAAGCGCCGCGTGTCCAGGGGTTGTCCTGTCGACGCCCGTGTGAGTGCAGCGGAGTGCAGCCGTGGTCGATATGATGAACGGCCGCCGGGATACACGGCGAACGCGGCCATGCCCGCTCGCTCCAGCGGCTCCAGCGCTTGGAGAGCTTCAGCAGCTCCACGGAGCTCCAGCAAAAGTCTAGTTCTAGTAGCGGCTCCAGCAGTAGCTCCAGTGGCTCCAGAGGCTCCAGCGGCTCCAGCGAGCACCAGCCTCCAGCGCGCCCGATAAACAATAAACGCGCACGCACATAATTGTGCGACAAATTGGCCGCGAGCCTCTGACGCCCCCCCCCTTTCCCCCCTTCAGCATCATCAGGGGGATGGGGGGCGTGGTGGAAGAGAGCACACTCGGGGGGCCCCTAAACACTCATCCCTCTGACGCCCCCCCCCCCCTTCTTCCTCACCCTCAACCGTCCCATCCCACGCAACGAGGCCCGTTTAAGAATAACGTAACACCTTCCGCGTAACACTAAACGACCATGGCACACGGACTCTGAGATAGCTGTATTCCCACTCGGCGGCAAGGTGACCAGCCCAGCGTGCTGGACCCTTGAGCAGCAGACCCCGACCCCGGAGTGGGGGCCATTAGGCAGTCCCTCCGGACTGGACCTCCTCTGGCGGGCGTTTTGGTGCGTCTGGTCGTCTTGGCGGGGCGCGTCGCCCAGGATCGCCATTTCCGGCCCCCTAAATGTGATTACGCCGCTTCGATTCCGTTCCGCTCTCCGGTGGGGCCGGGGCCGGCCGGGGGCGCGCGGCCCGTCCCGGGGCCCATGATGGGCGGACCGGCGAGGACGGAGGCACTCCCCGCCCATTTACACTGTCTTGACCAAACGTCTTTTAATACAAAAATGTCGTGTCCTCAAATTTTCTCAGAGTCGAATAATTTTTTCCCTCTCTTTCCCTCTGTTTTTAGCCGAGCCCGGATACCTGCTGCAGCTGGACTTCCGGGAGTCGTTCCACATCGAGCCCTCGGAGGGATGCCGGTTCGACTTCCTCGAGGTGCGCGACGGCGCGCACGGCTACTCGACGCTGCGCGGCGTGTTCTGCGGGCAGACCTTCCCGCCCATCCTCACGTCCTCGGACCGCTACTTCTGGCTGCGCTTCCACTCGGACGAGAACATCGAGTACGGCGGCTTTAAGGCCGTCTACCGCACCGTGCCGCGCCCCACCTCAGGTAAGAGGCCGTTCCAATACTACGTGACTCTTAGGGGGTACGAATATTATGGGGTCTCGATACGACCAGGACCATAAATTAAAGCCCGTAGGCCGTAGGACCCTATAATATTTGTACATCGGGGTACAAATATCATGGGGCCTCTATGCACTCCAATTGTACCTGATCATTTTGGAACCCCATAATATTTGGACCTCCCCCTAAAAGTCACTAATAATTTGAACGGCCCCTCATGTGCCCAATAATAGAGTTTACACCGTTTCCCGTATCGTCTATCGACGTTTATTCTTTCTTTGGATGACTACTAACTGTGTCCGTTTCACTCCACAGGCGTCGTCCCGCCGCCGATGGAGATGTGCAGCTTCAACATGTCGGACATGTCGCAGGGGTACGTCAACAGGTCGGACATTGACAAGTACGAGCCGGAGCGCGTGAGCATCGCCATCGAGCACAAGATGGCCATCGACTGTATGTGGATCATCACGGTGGAGGTGGGCTGGAAGGTGAGTGCGGGTGGGTGATGATGGAGGGTTTTGTTTTCGTCGTGGGGAATGAGGTTGGTCATGATGAACAGCGGCGCTGGCTCCGATGTTGTGCCCCTCTTTTGGTTGGAAGCTGCTGGTGCCTGGATTGGCTACTACTTTTGCTCTGCCCCCACCCCTCTTCCTTTTTTGGGGGGCCCTTCTCTCCCTCTCTCTCTCTTGCCTCGAGTGCAGTCCATTATCGGCCCGCATTCTCCCTCCCGCGTCTCACCCCACATACCCCCCCCCCCTCTCCCCCCGGACGCAGGAAATGCGGTTCCGTTCCCCTCTGTTCTGCTTCCTTCGGTACGAGTATCGCTTTCAGCTGCTTTCCTTAAAGTAGCGCCGCTCGGCCCGGGTCTACCCGACACCGCCCCGACATCGAGCGCCGGGCGGCTCCCTTGGGGTAGTAGCGAGAGGGGGGTGAGCAAAAGAATGCAGTCGGGGAGCGGTGGCGGTACACCGGCGGTACACCTCATTCCCTATTGATAAGCTACTTATTGCGTTCGGGTCCTTTTCTCCGCGAGGCAAAAGGGCCACAGAGGAGGACGATGTTGATTAGGTCTACCCGCCTCGGCCCTCTTCTTGCTGTACCGATGCGCGGCGCGGGTAGTCGTAATAAGAAACGTGATTGACTCTCTTCTCTTCAGATCCACCTCAACTTCCTCAACTTCAAGCTGGAGAAGCCCAACGACTGCGAGTCCAACTTCGTGGACGTGTTCTCCACGCGGACCGACATACCGTCGCGCCTCAAGAACTTCTGCGGCTCCATCGCCGACGCCGTCACCTCGGAAAGCAACATCCTGCACATACGCTTCTTCGCCGACTACAACGCTAAGAACAGCACCTTCGACTCGCTCTTCACCGCCTTCCGGGATCGCGGGCCGCAAGGTGAGAGAGGGTTAAAGGGTGACGAAACAGATGGGCGCACTCATGCAGTGGCTTTGCGAAATGCGCGGTCTTGTGCTTATGCGAAACTGCCCTCCAAACCGGAATGTTTACTACGTCCATGTGCGTGTGGGACGCGGGGCGGGGCGGGGCTGGGCGCTGACCGCAGCACTACTCCACTCCGCACTTTTGGGGCGCGCAGCTGTCGCCAAATCAGCGAAATGTTCGCTGCGACTCGGGCCCGGGCGGTGGCGCCGGGGCGGGCAGCAGTTGTGACTAGTAGCGCCGCGTAGCGCGCCGCGTACACCGCGCACCGTAGTGTGCTGGGCAGACTGTTGGTCTCAGTTCTGACGCACTACTCAAAGGCTTTAGTGACAATGCCATTTGGCGTTGTTTGAGCTCGTCAGTGGTGTGTGTTCCGGTTCGTTCTGATGGTTTAACCCGCCGTCCCCCTTTCGACTCGAGTAGAGCGAGTGCAACCCCTGACATGATGTGAGCGTTTTGTTCGCGCAGGTTCCTGCGACGACAAGGGCGACCAGAAGACGGAGTACGACTGCGAAGACAACACGTGCATACGGCACGAGCTCAAGTGCAACGGCGTGCACAACTGCCGCTTCAAGTGGGACGAGGAGGACTGCAAGCTCAAGCCGGGCTCCTTCTTGAGCATCATCAGCAACTCGGAGCAGCTCATCATCATCATGATCATCTTCTGCCTGCTCGTGTTCGGCATGTGTTTCGCCTTCGTGTACAACTGCGTCGGCAAGCTTCTCAGGGACCACCGCATCATCCAGGTACGGCTGTCAGTTTGTAAACGAGGGAGATTGGCAGGGGGGGGGGTTAGACCGCGCAATAACATAACTGACCTCCCCGATCTGCCCGACAGGAACACATGCGGCAGTCGCGCGAGGACCGGCTGGACGAGATGGGTCGCAAGTCGCCCTCCATGAGCCACTCGGTGCGCCACTGCTCGCAGCACTCGAGCGAGCACGACCACCACGGCCACGACCACGACGAGCTGAGCTCCGAGAACACGCCCACGGCCAGGAGGCATCACCAGGACTGCTACCTCGCAGGTGAGGGTCGACACCGAGACGACGTGTCTGGTGGGCCGGCGTTGCGTGAGCGAGCCGAGCTTCTCTACGACGCTACTGAACTTGCTTCTTGTTGCCCGCAGGTACTGACGACGCCATGCTGCCGATGCTGGTGTCGCGAGGGTCGCTGCCGGCGCCGCCCTCCAACGGCGACGCCATCTTCGTGCGGACGTGCGCGGCGGGCAGCAGCGGCGGCCTGCACCGTGCCGCCGACCTGGACGACGACGTCGTGGACCTGTCGCCGCCGCTGCCGCCATCCGCCGCGCACTCCATGCAGCTGCCGGAGATGAGGGACATGGAGTGCCAGACGCGCGAGAGCCTGTTCCACAACCACAGCAGCAGCCTGAGCAACCACAACGACCCGTCCAGGTCCAACTCGGAGCGCAGCTGCACGCCCCCGCCGCCGCCGCCGCCCACCATCTCGCGCCTGGTCAACATGAAGAACAGCCGCAACAACGGGCCGAGGCCCACGCCCTTCAGCACGTTCGGCTACGTGGACGACGGCCTGGGGCCGGCGGCCACCCTGTCCCGGCGGGGGCCGCCGCCCGCACCCGGCTCCCACCACCACCACCATCACCACCACCACCACGAGGACCCCATGCGCTTCCGGGCCGAGGCCGTCATCGAGATGGACCAAAAGAGCAGCAGCTCGTCATCGGCTGGGGGAGGTGGTGGTGGTGGCGGCGGCGGTGGAGGTGGCGGAGGACCTCCTGGGGCGGGGTCCGAGCGGCCCTTCAGCATGGACTCGACCAAGTCAGCCCCCGACGTGATCGTCACCCACTGACGACGGTGCACTGCCGTGTGGGAATCGGCCCGCAGGGGGCTCCCCCGGCAAGACGAGGACGTGATCGTGCACCTCGAGGACCTGAGTGACTCTGAGCCCGGTGCGCCCGGTCAGTCGGGGTCGCCGCCGGCCCTGGGGCCCCCGGCTGAGTTCTGTGACTCCGCGGCCTGTGGCTCCGCGTCATGACATTAGCCGTCTCCTCAGCACGAGGAGCCCGCCGAATCCAGGGGACCAGGGTATCGCGCGCCTGTGCCCGTGTCGGCTGGGCTGGGCACGGTTTGTACGAGCTGAACGCCTTTTGTCTTGCCTGCTTGGGCCGCCTGCGGCTGCACGCGGGCTGTTGAGACTGCAAGACTGGCCCGTAAAGCCACATGTGCGTCGTGAAGTGTGCTGCCCATGGACATGAGACGAGCCAGGGGTCGCCCCGAGTCTGCAGCCCAGGGTAGGACTGAAACAAGCGCATTGCAGATGCACGAGTAAGGGAGGACGTCATTTCAGCATTTGGAACGAACGCCATTTGACTGGCAGTGGCTTGTTTTGCTTTCCTTAGTAATGGTGTACTCCCTTACTCAGTGTTTCTATTGTTTTGTAAAGTTGTATAGCTGTGGTCAATTTTGTTACCAAAGATAAAGTTGTTATTGTTCACATCATTCTCCAGAATTGCAGAGTTGAGTTGAATGCCTGGTACGTTCTATTCAACTTCGAGAAGATATATAGAGGCCAGTAGTTGATGCACTTCTATTTCAATCAAAAATAAACACGTTTCTTACATGACCTTTTTTTACTGTGAGGAATTAAGATACTGCTACCCTGTTGAGGAAGAAATTCTTCTAACAATATAACATTATTCTATGGTGCTGTCTTTTTTTTGTTTCGTTGCCCTATTTGATTTTAATTTTAAATCTTCTCTGGAGAATTGTGAAGACAATCTAAGAAAACTGTGATCATCTGCGAGAAAGTTTCGCTTTTGATTGTT